AACTAAAATACTTAAAACAAAGATAAAATATAAAAATAATATCCTAAAACTTAATTAAAATACTAAAACCTATTTAAACTAAAATACAAAGATAAAATATAATGTTTAAAATATTATCCTAAACTTGAGTTTAATTCAAATCCGAATTCCAGCTAGCTTTAATTACGAGAAAAAAAATGCAGAATTATATCTTTTTTGTGCAATTTCCAGAATCTGACGTCCTACACAGAAAATGAATCAAAACGAAAAATTAAGCCACAAAAACTAATGATTAAGAAGTAATTTAAAAGTAAAATATTAACTAAATTAAGCACTTATCAAATATGCTTTTACTGTAGTCTTGTGTTAAATCTGGAAACATGTGATTTAAAGAATAAATTGGCTTGAATTAGCATAGTTTTTCTTTTGTTAAAAAAATGCTCTTATTCTAAATTCAAGGTTTAGTTATAAAATAAGTGCTCAAATTACAGTGTCATCACGGATAGGTGACTAAATTATTTTTTTAATGATCCTGGTGTCTAACCTCACAAACATTATTACCTTATGTGCCCAAGCAATCAACGACATTAATTTTCTCCGTTAAGTGAAACATTTCACAATATGGTAATTTTAAAACTTTTATTTAAAAATTAAAAAAATTAAAATTATATTTTTTTAAAAAGGATAAAGATTTCAAAATAACCTCAAAACTTGAAAACTTTCATTTCAACCCCTAAACTCACGTCGGCCACTATCCTTTGCCGTTAACGAAGCTCCGCCCGACTTCACCTTCCCCCAGCAACCATAATTCATATGACATCGTGACAGATCGACTACGAATTGACGTTTTATACCCCGTGAATTCTATGATAAAAATAGCGATTTCGACAGCCAATTAGTGGCAACTACAACGGCGTATGGCTAGGAGAATGACAGGGACTAAGTCTGCAGTGGTGATCCTGGTCGAAAAGGGCGGCGATAGCATGTTAGGGTTAGGATTTAGGGTTTTTGGGACTTTTTTTCTAAGTTAAGAGAAAGTATGGGTTTTTATAAATATAATAATATTTTTAATATTTTTAAAAAAAATAAATTTTAAAACTACCAGATTGTGACATGTGTCACTTAACAGATGAAATTAACACCTTTGACGGCCTCGACATCTAAGTGGTAATGTTGGTAAGTTAGGCATCGAGATCATTTAAAAAATAGTTTAGGCATCTATTCATGAAAAACACTTAAGTTTGGGTACTTATTTTATATTTATGCCTAAATTCAATGAAATGTTTATTATGTGATTAGTTATATTCTAAATTTTTTAGGGTTTATTATCTATTTGATCACTCATATATTCTTACATTTTTGTTTTAGTCACCAAACTATTTTTTTTAAATCATACCGTGTGTTATGTTTTATTTCGGCTTTGATCGCCCATCGTTAGATTTAACTATTGATTTAATAGAAGTAATGATGTGACATAATATTATAACAATTTCAGTCCTCAAGATTTATACAATCTATCAAATTGGTTATAATTCAGAATATTTTAATAAATCTCTAATATTTAAAAATTCTACCATTTAAGTTTCATTTTAATTTAAATAATTTATCAATAATTCATTAATATTTTTTAAAAGTATTATTAAATTATTATTATTATTATTATTATTATTTGATAAATTATTAAATCATCTAAATGAGGGGTGTCGAATAAGCAAAGACGGTTGACAGCAAAAAGGTAAACCACAATCGACAGTGGATATTTGGGAAGAGAAGGGGCACATGACTAGGGCTCCTTAAGGAGCCAACTCCCCAGCAAGTCAAGATGAAACCAACAACTAATTGATTAGTGAGATGAGACATTAAATATTTTTAAGTAATGTTAGAATTTAAATTCTTGTATATATAAATGAGACAAATTAAATTAAAAGAGTTGTTCCATAACAAATTTCTACAAAATTCAATTCAGAATACTCAATTAATAAATTAAATAAGAATGGTTAAACAAAAAAAAATCAGACCTGTTACTTTTTGGAGGACATGCTTAACATATCTTCATATAGTATAATTTTGTTATATTTAAAACCTTAACTCTAACATAAATAATCATATTTCTAACAACTTTCATCTCTTAATCTTATGAAAGAAAAAACTAAAATACTGAAAATGATAAAATGACCTCTAATATAACCTTAAAATTACATAAACATTAAACTAAACTTAAACCCTAAAAATCTTACAACCCCTGGGTGTTTTGTAGCCTTTAAAAAGTTCATATCCGTCAAGCTAGTTATTGTGCATGGATAAGACCTATAGGGACTTATATGATCTATCGAGGTAAAATTTAAGAATCTTCAATTACGATTGAGAAAAAAATCTCCACTCTTCCTTTTTAAACTTGCATATTATTTTTTATGCCTTTCTCTCGCTCAAAAAGAAATATTAACTAATGGTCTATTTTTATCGATTAACTCCCCCATCAAATCCAAAGGAATGAACGGTTAATAATCGATGAAATAGAAAGTTACCCTATCAACCATTAATAATTATGAAACTTTATATACAAAAATATCAATTAAATATCTTATTTCTGTATATCATTTTTATATATTATATTCTTTAATTAAAACTTTTTACCAACTAATTATATATAATATTTTAAATATTATTATTTGGTACACCAGTTGTGTTGAAAAACTTATGACTATCCATTGAGGTAATTGCAAATATTAAGGGTGTGAGTGTTAATTATTCTTTTTGATTAATTTAGGGTATTAATAAGTGATATTATTTGTTCTAAAGACTCAATCATTTGATAATGACGCTCAAATATCCTGGAATCTCTAGTGCTCAAATTTGGGACCTCTATAAACAATAATTATTCCTTTAATCACAGAGGTAGCTTACTCGTGTAGCATTAATTGTTAAATAATTGAAATTTTCTGAATAAATACTATTTTGTACTCACATCAAATTTATTAAAATAAAATCAAAAAAAGTGAATTAAAAATCGTTATATGTTTATTTATTTATCATTTTTCAAATAATAATTAAAGATGTTTGACAATTTTAAACTCCACTTATGGAATTAAATGAATTACACAATTAATGTACTAAATATTTATCTATATTTTCGTCCGTGAAATATAGCATTTTTTAAAATAAAAATAAAATTATTTTAATATTAATATTCATAAATCATATAAATTATTCATGACAAGCGTCGTTTTACCATCAGATAAATTTTTTAATCTCAAAAGAAATAAAATAAAATAGTATAGTGAGAAGAAGAGTTGATCCATAAGGACTTGAAACTATTAATGTAGAATGCTTTTGATTATGGTGTTAGGCGAAAAAGCTAGCAAAATAAGGGGGTTTAAATGAAAGTATGAAATAAAAGTAAAAATAAAATAACTTGAAAACTAAATAAACTTTGGCGAAAGTAAAAGATTAGAAACAATCAATTTCATAAAAACAACCGCAAGCTTCGTTTTGTCCCAATTTTCGTCGATCATTAAATAAGATTTTTGTTTCGGATTCGTGTCGGTTACAGTCTACAGAGTCAAACCCCTGTAACTTGTTTTTCTCTCTAGTAAACCAACAATCCAAAATCTATCTTTAAATTTCAATCATTTTGTGGACTAACTACGACTATCGTCGTTAGCGCTAACTCAGTTTAAATATTTGTAAAAATCCGATCTCAATTTCCTTAGCATACCGCCGTTAAGTGTGTTCACAGGAAGTCGAATGTGCTACAAGTCGATTCTTCCTCCCAAGTTTAAATCGAAACAACTATCAAGCTAATGAGCTCTTTTTTATTTGAAAGCGTTTGAATTTCTAAAGGAAATGCAGATTGTCAATCTAATTTTGCAGAAAATTGAGAATATAACCCAAATGATATTAAATGTTTTTCAATTCTCACTATCAAAATTGAGTCATCGCTTCAGCATTTGACTTATGAGAAAGTTAGATAAGTATGATAGAAAACATACTTATAATTTTCAAAGAAAGTAAATAAAAACCGAAAGAAAAGAATTTTTTTTAGAAAATGACGAAAATAAAGAACAAAGTAATTCGATAAATATGAGATATGTTTTTAGGCTTACCCCAATGGGTATTTATAGTATCCTAAAATCTTAAAAATAACATAGAAAATGATAAATATAAATCTTAAAAAAAATTTAAACTAAATCCTAAAAACAAAAGATAATTCTTTTGTTTAAATTTTGAGATGAAACTGATCTACTCGGTCTTCTAGAAACACTGACTAGACCATCTTCTGCTAATTGGATTGTTGACTGTACATTCTATAAATTGTCATGTCAGTCGCGTCGTACCCATTAATACAATATTGATTCAAAAAAAAAAACTATAGAACTTTGTGTTTTAGTGTAACTTTCAGATTTTGAAATCCTACATAAAAAAACAAACAAAATTGCCCAAATCAACGGAATAAATCAACCAACAAGGAGTAAGTAAAGATAAAATAGTAACTAATTAAACCATTCATCAATTCATTTTGTTAAATGTCGTAATATTATATGTCGAGTCCCACGGAGGGTATTTCATAATTCGGAGGTCTCTTACGGAAGCTGCTCTCAACCTGGTGTTGGGGGTAGCCTACTATCTTACCTTCTCCTTATCCCATACATATGGGAAAAAGGGACAGCCATTTTTGTTGATATCATTCAATTGAAAAATAAGTTAAAAAGTAGTGTTATTTAAGAAAAAATGAAAAATACTAGAGCTGTAAGTATGGATTTCTGGCTTCCTAGTAACTTCCTAAAGGTATCCCTTTTTTTCTTCCGATGACTTTCGAGACTCCTTACCTAACCGGTCCATTAGTCTCAAAGCAAATAGCTCCCCTTCCAGAAATCAAGCTCAGATTTTTGGCGTTGGACTAGTCAATGTTGGCGTCCGTTATGTCCTTCCACATTACTGTCCTAATTCCACATTACACTCCAGAGTACGGATAACGAGTTTAAGTCTTTTCGCTCATTTTCAAATCTGTTATGGCCATCCATTTCTTCAAATAGAATCAAAATTTTCCAATGAAATGTCAGAAATTGAAGCTTATACTTTTGCAGGTATTTTTCCTTGAAATTATAAGCACCAGTGAGATATCCATCTGTCTCAGCCATGGCCAACCCTTTCTATTACTTATGGAGTTCCCTTTTCCTTTTTGCTTGTGTTAATTCGATCCACTTTAATATACCCCATTTTGACCCTGAGGCAACCAGCATTGCCTACCAAGGGGGCGCCAAACCTTCTGCTGGCTACGTTGAATTTAGCAACGTACGTTATGTGTGTCAGGTCGGTCGGGTTTCGTATGCCGGAAATGTGCCGATATGGGACTCTCGTACTAACCAGGTTGCCGATTTTAACACTCGTTTCTCCTTCATCATTGACAGTCTAGGCAAAAATAGATACGCAGCTGGTCTTGCTTTCTTTCTTGCTCCTGTTGGATTTGAAATCCCACCCAATTCTTCTGGTGGATTTCTTGGCTTATTTAACACCACCACCAGTGATTCATCACGGAACCAGATTGTTCTGGTGGAGTTCGACACTGACTCCAACTCTCCGTGGGATCCTCCGGGTCAGCATGTCGGGATCAACACGAACTCGGTTTCTTCGGCTAAGTACTCCCCTTGGAATTTCAGTTTGCACGATGGAAAAACAGCCGATGCGTTGATTTCTTATAATGCTACAACTATGAACTTGAGCCTCACGTTGTCTTACGAAAGTTCTCAAGAGAATGTCACTCTTTCCCATCGCGTTGATCTCAGGGAAATCTTACCAGAGATGGTCATGGTTGGATTTTCAGCCGCTACCAATCATTTACCGGAGCGGAATCAACTTCTATCGTGGGAATTCAACTCGAGTTTAGAAATAAACACGACCGAGGGACAGAACCGAAGAAGGACAAAGATGATAGTAGCTCTAGTAGTTCTGCTGAGCGTTTTAATGACTGTGATCGGCATATCGTTCGTGTTTATTCGGAGGTGGAAGAAGGTGAAAGAAGAAAGAGAAGAGAGAACGAACTTAACTTCGATCAATGACGACCTCGAAAGAGGAGCAGGGCCGAGAAGGTTTTCTTACACAGATCTCGTTGTGGCTACCAACAATTTTTCAAGCCAGAGGAAATTGGGGGAAGGAGGATTCGGAGCCGTCTACAAAGGGTATTTCAATGATACAGATACCACAGTTGCAGTGAAGAAAATTTCAAGGGGATCAAGACAGGGGAGAAAGGAATACATTACAGAAATCAAGATCATTAGCCGATTGAGACATCGAAATCTGGTGCAACTACTAGGATGGTGCCATGATGGAGGTGAGTTTCTTCTCGTCTATGATTTCATGTCAAATGGTAGCCTCGACAACCACCTCTTTAGCCCAAAGAAAGCTCCTATAAATTGGCCTGGTAGGTACAAAATAGCTCGAGGCTTGGCATCCGCATTGCTATATCTTCATGAAGAGTGGGAGCAATGTGTGGTTCACCGCGACATCAAATCGAGCAATGTAATGCTAGATTCCAGTTTTAATGTTAAGCTCGGTGACTTCGGATTAGCTCGGTTAATGGACCATGAGCTAGGTCCTTTGACCACAGGATTGGCTGGAACATTAGGTTACATGGCCCCGGAATATGTAAGAACCGGTAGGGCAAGTAAGGCGTCCGATGTGTACAGCTTCGGGATAGTTGCCTTGGAGATTGCTACAGGTAGAAAAGCAGTGGATGGTGTGGAAGAAAATTTCCCGCTAGGATTGGTCGAATGGGTTTGGCATCTTTATGGAACTCAGAACCTTGCTGCAGCTGTTGACGAAAGGTTGGTTGCAGAGTTAGATGAACAACAGATAGAATGTGTGATGATTGTTGGACTGTGGTGTGCGCACCCTGATAGCAGTCTAAGACCCTCGATCAGGCAAGCGATTCAGGTTCTTGATTTCGATGTGGCACTGCCAATTCTCCCATTGGAAATGCCTGTTCCTATATATCAGTATCATCAACCTATTTCACCAAGCAATGGCAGCAACATTCAACCTTTGATGTCTGATTCGGACATCAGAGCGGAGCCTTAAGCCACCCATCACACTTTTTTACTGTAAAATGTCTTCATGTCTGATGTCTCCAATTCGCTTTGTTATTTGATAACGATCCAGATGGGACTTTGTACAACTCACTCAATTATTACCTTAGGCTGTTTAGCCGCCATCGCTCCCAATTGTAACTACCGTCGGAAGATTTTGGTACTAATAAATAGTTACATTCGATCATCGATGCCTAGAAAATAAGTTCAATATTTAATATATTAAAAAATATTTGTTTAATAGTACAATGTTTTATTATTCTCTATGATATTATAACAAACCACATCATTACTGAATAGAATATAAATTGATTGAAAGACATATAAATGAACATGAATAAAAGTAACTAAAATTAGGTAAAGTATTCTAAAATGTTAGTATAGCAACTAAAATTTCAGGCTAATAGTTTCGAGTTTACCTGAGAGATAAGTAGACCTTATTAAATTTATAAATTAAGTTGTTGGGCTTAATTGGGTTGGTTTTGGGCATAATTAGTCATAAAAGGGGATTTTTATATAAGGGACAAAATGAAAAGGACCAAAAGAGTAATTAGACCATTGTTGAATTTTGAAGCTAAGATTTGGGGTTTTATACCATTTTGGACGTGGGTTTCTCCAATTTCATCTCATCTTATTCTTCCTTCATTTTCTCCAAGTAGCCATAGCTCTAAGGTAAGGTCTTGAACCTTTTTCTTATTACATTTTCGTCCTAAATGCCACCCAACTACACTATTTTGGAGATTCAAGCTTTGGGTTTTGTTTTTGCAAGAAAAAACAGGGGTTTTCATCATCCAAGCCTTGAGGAGGGTAATTTCTAACTAAATGAGGTTCATTTCAGGTTTATAAAATCAAGGTAGTGTATTTCTAATCCTTTGTAGTATCAAGCTTTCATAAATTCCAAGTATTTGCTAAGATTTGTGTAGTTGAGCATATTAGGGTTTAAATTTAATTTCAATACTAAAAGATGTTTTAGGTGTTATTAATGTGTTTTATGACACCTAGGGGCCTTTGTTAACTCCCAAGAACTTCAGTGCATGATTTAGAATCAAACTAAGGACTTTATGATGGATTTCAAGTGTTTCCCGATCCTAGAATAAGTCTTTCAAGGTTCGAGTATCAATACTGGGATGAACAATATTGATACTAGTTAAATTGAGGCAAAATCTATCAATACTATACTTGTAGTATCGATACCCTATGGTCAAGTATCGATACCCCTATGAGTATCAACACTAAAAATGTATTTTATTGTGAATTTAGGGTCTCAGTATCGATATTGTCACCCAGAGTATCGATACTGCCAAGGGGAGTATCGATATTACCCTTGCAGTATCGATACTCAGGGTGACAGTATCGATACTCAGACACTAAATTCACAAAAAAAATACATTTTTGGTACTGATACTCATAGGGGTATCGATACTACAAGTATAGTATTGATACTACTCACTTGGGATGGTCAGATTTGACCCGTTTAAGGTCCGTCCGTAAGATCTAAGAATGATCCTTAATAGAAAGATTTAGTCCATGAGAGTTATAAATGACCTAGTATACCCAGAAACACTTGCAAGAGCAGGTTATGTCCAGAGTAACCATATTAAGCTTAATACGTCAAAGTGTCTTCGAGCAAGGACAAATATAAATAGTCAGGAAAAGGATCGATTCGATAAGTGGTATGATGATTATGTCAGACTCAATGGTAGCGAAAAGTATGAGCTTCGATAATGCCAATGAACCCAGGAAAAGTAAGATGTCATTTTCAATTCAAAAGGTCCTGAAGGGAAGTATTATAAGATCGAATAGAGTACCTCTACTCAGAAACAAACCCGAGCCAAATATCGGGCTAGCTAGTTTCTCAAACAATAAATAAGCCTTTGCCCAATATTCTAGATGAAAGAACGACCGAGATATCAACTAGTATGATGTTAACTTCACTTTAATGAGTCCGACTATGTTAAGGTGTACCCAGGTTACCTTAGTTGCCCTAGAGGGGCATTATCACTGTGCAAGGCACTTTAGGGGCTAACTAGGGTGCGAGACCCGAACACTCGCAAGGAGTAGGCTAGCAATATCAGTTTTTATGGACTATAGGCCTTAGATATGCATGGTTAGTTATGTCAGTTCTATTCCGTTGGGTAAGTTTCTGATGCATGTAAATTTCGGTTATTACTTCTAGGCTATTCCATACTCAAGGTAGGTTGGGGTGTTGCTCCAAGATGCACGTAAATTCCTTCGACCACACCACCAGACCTATCCCATATATGTTTGTGTTAGTCATACATGTATAGTCCCAACATTTCAGTATGTCAGATATGTTAGAACATGGCTTGAAGGCTATGTGAGATCGAGCCAATGCTTCATTTTGTACGAGAACTTTACCAATGTTATGTGGCATCGGGTTCCTTTCAGTGATCTACCTGATGGCTATGTGTTAAGTTAATCGATTGACGAAATCGGCCAAGAGGGGGTGAATTGGAAATTAAAATTTTGTGGAAGCTTTTGCAGAAAATTGAATGTAATTGCACAGCGATTTAGAGTGGTTCGACTTTATCAACCAAAGTCTACGTCCACTACCTTAGCTATCCACACTAAAGAGTTTCCACAAATTCACTAATTTGTCTTTCTTTTGCGGACAAAGAGAAACCTTACAAACCCTCAAGAATTATACCCAAAATTCTTGAGAACACTCTCTCCAAAAGAGAACAATACAAATTTGCAAACTTACAAGGAAATCCTCACAAGGTAGATTGTTTGCACAATTCTAGAACAAGAAAAGAACACTAAAAAATAATTACAAATGAGCACAAAAGTTGTTCTTGAAAGCAAAATGAATATTGAAAGGAAAATTGGCTTGTTTTGCACAAACTTGGTGTTTGATGCTTTCTCTCTTGTTTCTCTTATGATTTCTTGTTGATCAAATGCTTCAGAAGTTGTTTAAATACACCTTGAATCACTTCTGAACGTTGGGGATGATTAGTGGAGATAATAGAGCCATTTAAGTGTGAAATCATTTAATAAAACATCTTGGAGCGTGGGGGAATCGGTACCCCTCATGGGGAATCGGTTCCCTAAGTGTAAAATTCAAATATTTCGACCGTTGAATAGTAGGGGGAATCGATACCCCTGGGGGGAATCGGTTCCCTCCGAGCATACTGGAATTCTCGGAGCCAAACCATTCAGGGGGAATCGGTACCCCCTTGGGGGGGAATCGATTCCCTCTGGACAAACTGTAATTCTTGGCTTTGAAACGGTTCGAAATACTTTGTAAAATTGTTTTAAAATTATTTTAATATTAAAACTTAATTTTACACTTTAGTAAGGATTTAAAATAAACTATGAAATACTTTGAGTAATATTTTGATATTCGATTAATATATCGAATGTACTTAGAAAATCATTTGCAAAATCTTAAAATTCATTTGTTATATCGAAACATCAAAATGTTTTCAACAATCTCCCCCTTTTTGATATAACAAAACATTTGAGTAATTTGAAGATTTTGAATTCAATTTTGAAATTACTCTCCCTTACTTTAACACTTCTCCTCTTCAAAAACGCTTTTAACATTTCTCCCCCTTTTTGTTAAATCAAAAAGATTCGTAAAATTTTTTTTAAACAAGGTTTTGAAATCATTTAGCCAATTGATTATATATATACAAATAAGCTGCTAAGAACACAATCAAGAGCGTTAGTCATTAGTTCCATAATCAATTCATAAACATGTAATGGATAATTGGTCATATATGTCTAAAGATGCAAAATAAACACAAAATCCAAATCAAATGTATTAAACATAAGTTCGAACAACAACAAAAAAACAATCCAAAAGCATTCAAAATGTTTTAACAATAGGTTCAATCCAAACAAGCAAAGCTAAGATCATAGTTCAAGCATCCGTAGGAGGATCGGGCGGTGGGAAAAGAGCTCGCATTGCTTCCATTTCATGAGTGAGTTCATTAATACGAGCGTTGGTTGCTTCATTGTTTGCACGCATCTCCCGAAGAATTTCCAATTGTTGAGTTTCCAATTGTTGAGTTTCCATAGTCGAGAAGTGAGATTCTATGAAAGTGAAGCGAGAATCCAAGGATGCATAACGGAAATCAAATGTCTCCATAAATGATTGAAAATATGGAGGCATATGATCTTCTTGCTGAGCTTGTTCCTCATGTTGTTCCGGCTCATCTTCGGCTTCGTCAATATCTTGCATTAATTGTTCAAGCTCGGGATCATCGTCAGCTTCTGGTGGAGCTTGAGGAGAGCTAGCTCCCAGAGTATTTTCAGAAGATCGAACTCATTCAACGGTGTCCTTATTCTTTATCCATCCCGCTCTTGTTAAGGAAAGAAGATTAATTTGTTTCTTGAGAGGAAAGATGGCATCTAGACCTACCCTAAGTCCGACTTTAGAAAATAGATTACTCATAATGCAACCGTAAACTAGAGATGAACAGAGTTTCTTATTTGGAACTTGGTTTACGGTTTCAACAATTTCAACAAAAATAATCTCAGGAAGATTTATTTTAAGATTGTTTTGGAAGCAATGTAACCACCAAAGATCTAAAGCACGAAGAGTAGAGTAACGACCTCCGGATGGTCAAAACCACCAAGAAATCATTAGATGAAGAAAACGATCATGAAGATCTAAGACACTCACACTATCCCTTCTTTTATAACGAGAACCTAAAAACTATTTTTATTTGATATACCATCATTATCTAATCCTAATTCATTAGCTATGTAAGTCGAGTCAAGATGGATGAATTGTCCTAGGAGATAGGAACGAACTGCTATGGTTTTGGTTTGAGCTCGGTTTTTAACACACACGGCATTAGAATAGAATATGTGAACAAGTTGATGGTAAACTATAGGTTCAAGGTCACAAAGTTTATCAAATTTCCACTCTTGTAAAAGAGGAAGATATCTAAAATAGATATCTATCATATCTTGACGAGAAGAGATACGTTCTTCTCTAATTTTGTAAGAGTCAAAATATTGATAATACCAAAAACGATGATTTCTAGGACCAGGATGATTGAAACAC